CGAGGGGGTAATCACTACAGAAAGTAGGTGTACACATTTCTATAAAAGTTAAAGTGGAAGTGACAAAAAGTTGACTGAAAGTGATGAAAACTGAAAGAAAATGTGGACAAAAGTGACTTATCGTGCGTTGACCAGATCAAAAATGAATCAAATAGAGGGGATATAGGCATAGAAATGAAGTAAACGTTGTAAAACGATGAAAAAGTGAATAAAAGTGGAAAAGTGAAAAGTTGAGGTGTACGCATTTTCACGGAGTGATTACCCCCTCGGTGATGAGCCTCCTGTACCCAGCTCCATGTAACAGATGAACTGAAAAACAGAAAGAAGTTAGAAATGTTTATACCCAGCAATGTAAAAAGGTAGGGACAAAACTGACTTGTGATTCTGCAGGAAAAGTAGCTTCAATCTTCAAGCTCAAAGTTTCAAAATCATTATGCCGTAAACTGGTAAAGAAAAAATATAAAATTAGAAAAACTCTTGAAAGGGTAACCAACTAAATTAAAGGCATTGATTTCACGTTAGCTTACCCTTCTTTCACTAAACGAGCAGCGGTAACAACAATATCAGCTACGGAATCATCTCGATGTTTCTTTGTGAACGTCTTGAACTTGTGAAAATATTTAACAATTGATGGGCCTTTCCCTTTCTCCTTATTCTTAGCCAGTACAGAATTAATGTCCTAAAGCAATAAACAATTTATAAGTAAGCAGTAAAAGACCCTATCAGCACATTTGATGAAATCAACATTTTTGTCAAACGAAATACATACTAGATTTTGAATACGACACGTCCTAACAACAATGTTCTATCTGCAGCGTGCTGAATACACAATGTTCTATTTGCAAAACGCGGGTTTCGGGACACCTCCAAAGAAATGCTTAATCGACACTTGAAACCTATACACACGGAGTTCGTGGCGGCTCCGTATAAACGCATGCAAGAATGATAAAAACCTTCCCGACACTTTGATGTACAATTAGACAAGGTAGATGTACGCCAGACCACGTCTCGCATAACAGGCTTCGCGATATCTCACGAAACACTGTTGCGCTGCGACGCGCCTGGCATACATCTACCTAGGCCTGCGGCGCTGACACCCGAGCCAGGTAGCGCAAAAATGTACACAAAGATACGGGCCTCCGGCCCGTCAACTTCCCGTCACTTCGACTTGCTTAGTTGCAGGGTTGCACATTTTTACGCCTATTTTCGTCAAAAACTTCCTGTGGCGCCTAAATGGTTCAAGGTTAGCCTGTCCGAAATTGGAGGTCGAAGTGACGAATTGAGGAGGTTCGGGCTCTAAATGATAGAGGACATTAAACGATGATTTTCTGTCGTTGTCCGAAGTCCGTGCGACAACGTTTAGGGGTCGCGCCACTCGATTTTCAAAACGCCCCCGAGAGCGCGGGAAAATGGCTCACTTCTTGTGGGGCACGCTGTGCGCGCTGCGCGCCACCGGAGGTGTCGATGAGGGCTTGAGCTGAGACCTCGGGGGTTCTACTTTACATCCGGCAAGTGCAATTGGTCACCACCGTCACCCCGTGGACGCCGGGGGCCTAAGTGTCTCGTTCCGCATCACTTGCGCTCGCCGTTTGAAGTCCGCAAAAGTTGCAATTTTTTCTTCGCAGACTTAAAGGGCACCTAATACCCCTTCGATAACAGTATCGCCTGTCAAAATGCGCAACCTGGAACATGGTTGAAAATCTAAAAAACATGCTTAAAGGCGCCTGGAGAGGGCCAACTGGCTACCCGCATTACATGCGTGTATGCAGGTTTTGCCTAGTAATCGGGCTGAGGTCCCCTCAGGCGTGTTTTTTAGATTTTCAACCGTGTTCCAGTTTGCGCATTTTGACAGGCGATACTGCTATCGAAAGGGTATGAGGTGCCCCTTAAGTCTGCAAAGAAAAAATCGCAACTTTTGCGGACTTCAAACGGCGAGCGCAAGTGACGCGGAACGAGACACTTAGGCCCCCGGCGTCCACGGGGTGACGGTGGTGACCAATTGCACTTGCCGGATGTAAAGTAGAACCCCCAAGGTCTCAGCTCAAGCCCTCATCGACACCTCCGGTGGCGCGCAGCGCGCACAGCGTGCCCAACAAGAAGTGAGCCATTTTCCCGCGCTCTCGGGGGCGTTTTGAAAATCGAGTGGCGCGACCCCTAAACGTTGTCGCACGGACTTCGGACAACGACAGGAAATCATCGTTTAATGTCCTCTATCATTTAGCGTCCGAACCTCGAAAACTTTTTTTCCGTCGGACAGGCTATTCAAGGTAGACCCAAACGGACGAAATTTAAGCCCGACGGGTTCTATTTTAATGAGTTATCCCTTAGAATACTGTAAAAGAACTATTTTAAAAACACATTATTTGTGGGACCTGTGGTTTTTGATTTTTTTTTCAATCCAATTTTTGAGCTAGAATGCTCTTCTTCGAACTCGAAATGTCTTTTTATGATACAAAACGACCCTGAAAATCCCAGGTCGCTAGCTCAATTCGTTCTCGAGTTATCGTG